GGAGAATCGCTTGAACCCAGGAGGTAGAGGTTGCCATGAGCCGAGATCACGCCATTACACTTCAGCTACTCAGGAGGCTGAAGCAGGAGAATTACTTGATCCTTAGAGGCAGTGGTTGCCGTGAGCTGAGATGGCGTCACCGCATTCCAGCCTGGGTGACAGAACAAGATTCCGTCTCAAAAAAGAAAAAAGCCTGGCATGGTGGCTCACGCCTATAATCTCAGCACTTTGGAAGGCCGAGGTAGGCGGATCACCTGAGGTCAGGAGTTCAAGACCATCCTGGCCAACGTGATGAAACCCTGTCTTTAAAAAAAAAAAATCCTTCTATATATCCTTAGTCCATAAGCTTTTTCCTTTTTTTTTTTTAATTTTAAATTTTTAACTTCTTTGTTAAAAACTAAGACACAAACACACACATGAGCCTAGTCCCACACAAGGTCAGGATCATTAACATCAATCACAGTCTACACCTCCACATGCTGTCCCACTGGAGGGTCTGCAGGAGAAGTAACGCACATGGCGCTGTCATCTCCTAAGACAACACTGCATTCTTCTGAAATATCTCCCAAAGGATCTGCCTGAGGCTATTTTACAGTTAACTTTTGTTGTTGTTATAAGTAGGAGTACATTGTAAAATTATGATAAGGCCAGGCACGGGAGCTCACGCCTGTAATTCCAGCACTTTGGGAGGCTGAGGCAGGAGGACTGCTTAAGCCTAGGAATTCAAGGCCAGCCAGGACAACATGGAGAAACCCTAACTCTACAAAAATATAAAAATTAGCCAGGTGTAGTGCAGAGTCTGTAGTCCCAGCTACATGGGAGGCTGAGGTGGGAGGATCACTTGAGCCCAGGAGATTGAGACTGCAGTGAGCCATGATCACACGATTGCATTTCAGTCTGGGCAACAGCAAGACCCTGTCTCAAAAAATAAAAAATAAAATACAGGCCAGGTGCGGTGGCTCATGCCTGCAATCCCAACACTTTGGGAGGCAGAGGCTGGCGGAACACGAGATCAGGAGATTGAGACCATCCTGGCTAACACAGTGAAATCCCATCTCTACTAAAAATACAAAAATTTAGCTGGGTGTGGTGGTGGCACGTGCCTGTAGTCCCAGCCACTCGGGAGGCTGAGGCAGAAGAATCACTTGAACTTGGGAGGCAGAGGTTCCAGTGAGCTGAGATAGCGCCAGTGTACTCCAGCCTGAGCGACAGAGTGAGACTCTGCCTTAAAAAAATAAATAAAATAATGGTAAAGAGTATAGAAAATACATAAGCCAGTAACGCAGGCATTTATCATCCAAGTGTTAGGCACCATACATTACTGCATATGTTATACTTTTATATGACTGCCAGTGCAGCAGGTTGGTTTACACCTACTCACAAACACGAGTAAATAATTTGATGTAATGAACAACAATTATGTCACTAAGCGACAGGAATTTTTCAGCTCCATGGTAATCTTATGGCACCATTGTCATAAGGTCTGTCGTTGGCTGAAATGCCATCATGTGGTGCATGACTACATATGCCATAACTCTGTTGCTAAGGACTTAATTTATACACAGCTTCATTTAATCTTCATAACCGTGAGAAGTAGATGAGAAAACGGAGTGGTTAAGGACACGGCTAAGGTCACACAACTGGAACACAGCACAGTCAGGATGCAGATCCAAGGTGTCTGACCACACCCTAGCACTGAGGTTTTAACGTAAGATACTGTTCTTCTGCTTCAGGAAGCTGCAGTCCAGTGGACAATCTGCCATCCTCTCAAAAGGGAAACTTGCAAATTCACTGGTACTATGAATTCACTTCTCATATTCACACAGACACAGAGCCTAAAAAAAGTCAAACCAAGTTTCTCAAAATTCTTCGTAGAAACCGAACAGATATTCTCTATTTACTCAGGAAGGAAAACAGTAACAGTAAAGCTTTGTGAAATAAAACTATAAATAGGCACCACAGTCAATATACACCTACTGGCAAAAGTCAAGGCCGTGTCTAGATAAATGTAGACAGCCCTCACCTCCCCACGAACTCTGTTTTTTTTTTTTTTTTTTTTTTGAGACGGAGTTTCGCTCTTGTTACCCAGGCTGGAGTGCAATGGCGCGATCTCGGCTCACCGCAACCTCCGCCTCCTGGGTTCAGGCAATTCTCCTGCCTCAGCCTCCTGAGTAGCTGGGATTACAGGCACACGCCACCATGCCCAGCTAATTTTTTTGTATTTTTAGTAGAGACGGGGTTTCACCATGTTGACCAGGATGGTCTCGATCTCTTGACCTCGTGATCCACCTGCCTCAGCCTCCCAATGTGCTGGGATTACAGGCTTGAGCCACCGCGCCCGGCTCAAACTCTGTTCTTATTACAACTTTGCCTTAGATCCTGGGAGCAGATAAAATGTTTTCTCTATCTTCCCAGGTCTTCACAAAGCCTGTCACTCAGCTATCGTGCAATAAATCTTTGATCAGTACATCAACTCCCAGTATTCCCCCTACTGGATTGGATTTCCAGCACTTTCTGAGGACTTAGAGCTGAGAAAAAGCGTACTCAACAAAGCTGAGAGATATGACCCCAAACTTTTCCTTTTCTTCTCTTTCCTTCCCTTGCCACAAGAGGGAAAAAAACCTTAATCCTAAACGGTTTACAATTGAGTCTAAATAAGAATTAGAAACACATCATAAACTTTTACCATTGTGAAGATTTTGCTTGAAATGAGTGTTCTCAAGGTTTTGCAAAAACATCTGTTTAATTTACTCCAAGTAACCCTGCCAATCGATTTAACAATGTTTTCCCACGTGTTTATGTCATTAGGGTACCATCCAACCTCTAGTGGCATTGTTAAGGGAAACAGTGCACCATGGTTACTTTGCTTTTCTATTCTTGAGTAAACATGTTGACTAGTCAAAAAGCCACATTTGAAAAATTAAACAGCACACAAGTTTAAGCCCAGAAGGGTTAAAATGGAAAACCGACACAAGTTTCATAACAGAAATTCTGATGTCTCCCTACTACTGGAATTCTTTCAGCTTTATTTATTTATTTATTTATTTTCTGAGACAGAGTCTCACTCTGTTGCCCAGGCTGGAGTGCAGTGGCACGATCTTGGCTCACTGCAACCTCCACCTCCCAGGTTCAAGAGATTCTTCTGCCTCAGCCTCCTGAGTAGCTGGGATTACAGGCACGCGCCACCACACCAGGCTAATTTTTGTATTTTTAGTAGAGGCAGGGTTTCACCATGTTGATCAGGCTGGTCTCGTACTCCTGACTTCATGATCTGCCCACCGCGGCCTCCCAAAGTCCTGGGATTACAGGCATGAGCTGCTGCTCCTGGCTTCTTTCAGCTTTAGTAAATTCTCTGATCCACTCTGAAAACCCCTCCTCCTAGGTCAAGTCCCATTCTCTATTTCAGTTGCCTTATATTGACACTTTGTTACAATTCAGTTTCCAAGTTTCACTGGCACAGAGGGCCCCCCTCTCTTTATGCCTTCTGACAGCCCACAACTGAGTCAAGTGATGGCTGGGAAGCCAATCTCCTTACAAAGTTCCCAGGCACCCTGGGTTCTCTTTGTACAGATGCAATTTACAGTTTACAATGCTTTATTCCATTGCGGAGGGGGGAGGGGGGAACCATGAAACTAAAAACCTCAGTAATGCAGCGACGTTAAGGAACAGCTTTCCTATACTCTGGTACTAGCTCTAGCTTGTAGACAGAATCATCTGAAAGAGAAGAGATGGGTAGATTTTACGTACACAACGGCCCAATGTCATATATTCAGGTCTTTCAACTACCTTATGAAAGTAACACTATGAACACACCATCCTCAAAGCTGCCCTCAGAACGAAGGGGTCCCCCTTAGTGTGACGGGCAGAAAGCCGCCCGTATTCTCTCCCAACTTTATGTGGCCCAAAGTTTTCATCTGTGGATAAGGGAATACTGAGAGTTGTTCCAAGATAAAATCCAAAATTCTTGGCTTCATTACCAATAAACCCGGCTGAGATTATTCCACATGCATCACTATAAAAAAACAGCATTCAGCATACCAACTCTCCCCATTCTCCCAGAATATCCCCTAAATTGCACATTGGAGTGCCTCCAGTAACTTATAATCAAGAAATAGCACAGCTGATTGCCTGGGAATTTGCATTTAGAAAGAAATACCAAAGTAATAAAATGCAAATCAACTCATAGACAGCCAGATCTTCACATCTGTAAAAAGCTGACAGAGTCATCATCTCCTGGGGCCAAAGAAAATATCATCTAGTGGATTCCTGAATGAAGATGAGGCTCGTACTTGGCTCTGAGTTTCTTAATCCAAACCAGACTTTGACTGTCAGCATTCTGAAGTTTTCCTGATGGAGAAATCAGGCACGAGGGCATAGTACAGGCAAGTCACAATGGGTGTGGAGCAGGTGCCAAGGGCCACTAAATTCTGACTTATTTGGGATCAGTTGGAGGAAGGGAGCAAATGAATAAAATCCAAACATTACTGGCTTAGCCAGAGCCTTCCTGGCTGGCTGCGCCTTTTTAAGGGTGCCTGAACAAAGGCTCTGTGTCTAGTGCCCAGCACCGTGCCTGGCACAAAACAGGACATCAGTAAATATTTGTGGAATCCAAGTCCTTTCGACTGTACGTCCCCAGAGCTCCCTCACATAAGTTTGTACGTTTCATGCTAGGAGATGGGCACCATCAACTCCATTATATTGATGGGGAAACAGTGGCTCAAAAGAATGAACTGGACCAAGTCAAGTCAGGAGCGGGGGTCGCGGCCCTAACCACACCACAGCTTCAGGACACTTAGCTCCCAGCCACGCCCACCTCCTCCGCTGCTTACACGGCGCCCCCACCTCGCGCCCCAGTCCCGCCAGGCTGGGGACAAGGCACAACAGCGTCCTCTCGGCCTCTCCCAGGCCCCAATTCAACACAATCATTCCCTGTCCCCAACCCCTGGACGAGGAGGGGGCGCAGCCCCTGCATCCCGTCACGCCGCCGTCCCCAGCCTGACCTTTTTGTCCCAGATTTGCAGGGGCTTGCTTCCAATGCTGTAGAGGATGGAGAGGAAGCCGCTCTGAAACGTGTTTTTGAACATCTCGGCGGCGGCCTTCTCCTCAGCCGCCGGGGAGCCGACCTAGGCCCCGGAGTAGTTACAGGCACCGAGCGGCGAAGGCACAGCAGCGGGCCTGTCCTCGGTGATTGACCTCCTGGCCTCCGGATCTGCAGCCACTGACGGCCGGACTCGGACGCGGGAATGCTAGGTCCACGATCTTCAGCTCCAACGCTGCGAGCTCAGAACAGAAACCACAGCAACTACCGGCCGCGCCGATCTCCCCGCCTTCAATGGAGGCGGAGGGCCGCCCGCGGCTCAAAGTGAATCCCTCCGCCCTTCTGAGCCCGCCTCCCGGGAGCGCGGGGCCCAATCCTGTTGCAAGAACCACGGACTTCCGTTTTGTTCCGCCCGTAAGCCCCGCCTGCTCCCGCCTCCTTCTGAAAAGATCTCAGTTGTCAAGGAACTATTTTTCTTGCCATCGTCTCAGAGATACCTTTGAAAAAGCGGAAGGGCACGGAGATTTCGGACTTGTTTTTGGCGCCTGCGTGGTATCATGGGAACGTGGCGGGGCGGTGAGTGACGTGAGGGGGCGTGACGGCCAGGCCGGGAGGAGTTGCCCGCGCGGGAGAAAAGGGACTCGGCAGGTAAAGTGGCTTTGAGGAAGAGCTTCTTGGGAACTCCAAGCACCCAGCAAGCGCTTGTCAGCCCAGTACAGGATACGGTTAAAGGGAGCTAACTGTGGTGAGCGCCTAATATGCATCCCTGCCTGTCATTATTCACATTGTGACATGCAGTTAAAGCGACACCCTGAGGAAAATGTATCGCCTTGAACACATTGATTAGAAAATAAGAAAGCCAGGAACATTAGGTCGAGTGCAGTGGTTCACACCCGAAATCCCAGCACTTTGGGGCAGGCGAATAGCTTGAGTCCAGGAGTTCAGGACCAGCCTGGGCAACAAAGTGAGACTCTCCCTCTAAAAAAAAAAAAAAAAAAAAAAATACAAAAACTAGCCGGACGTGGTGGCAAGCGCCTGTAATCCCAACTACTTGTGAGGGGTTCAGGTGGGAGGATCCCTTGAGCCCGGGAGGCGGAGGCTGGAGTGAGCTGAGATTGTGCCACTGCCCTCCAGCCTGGGCAACAGAGCAAGACCCGGTCTCGAATAAATAAATAAATCCCGAACATGAAGATAAAGGCAGAAATTCATAAATAAAATTAAGAGAGTTGAGTTGAACCAACACCTTATTTTAATTTTATTTTTTATTTATTTTTGAGACAGGATCTCCCTCTGTCACCTCGGCTCGAGTGCACTGGCGCGATCATGGCTCACTTCAGCCTCGACCTCCCCCGCTCAGCTGATTTTCCCATCCCAGCCTCCAGAGTAGCTGACTGCAGTGTGGGCCACCATACCTGGCTAATTTTTTGTTTTTGTAGAGACAGGGTTGGACTATGTTGCCCAGGCTAGTCTCAAACTCCTAGGCTGAAGCAATCCTCCCGCCCTGGCCTTCCAAAATACCTTGTCTGGCCAATAGTTGATTTTTTAAAAATTGGCGTAGTGGCTCATGCCTGTTAATTCCAGCACTTTGGGAGGCGGAGGCAGGCAGATTGCTTGAGCTCAGGAGTTCAAGACCAGCCAGGGCAACATGGTGAAACCCTGTCTGCACACACAAAAAAACACACACACACAAAAATTAGCGGGCATGGTAGCATGTACCTGTAGTCCCAGCTACTCAGAAGGCTGAGGTGGGAGGACCTCTTGAACCCAGGAGGTGGAGCTGAGATCACTACACTGTACTCCCCGCCTGGGCAACACAGTCTCTAGAGAATAAAATTAAAAATCAATTGATACCTAGAACATTTTAGAAAACACATAAGGTGAGCTATGGTATTTCAAGTGTAAAGGGAAATCCCAAATGTTGACATCTATCAGTTGCTGAGCATCTATCTAAATATTATATTTTGTGCCTAGGCCTGTGCTGGGTGGCATGGCTAATAGAAAAGGAGTTTGTAGCTAATGTCATCATTATTAGCAGTTTTTATTCACTATAGCAGTAAGTTGAACATTAACTATATGTCAGGCACCATATATAACACCTTAGCATGTATTAACTTATTCAGTTCTCACATCAGCCCCCTAAACAATCCAGCCAGAATTTTCAGACAGAGTGGCAAAATATATAAATCTTATTATGGTAGAAAGTCAAAAGCTTTTTTTGTTTTGAGACGGAGTCTCACTCTGTCACCAGGCTGGAGTTCAGTGGTGTGATCTTGACTCACTGCAACCTCCACCTCCTGTGTTCAATCAGTTCTCCTGCCTCAGCCTCTTGAGTAGCTGGGACTACAGGCTCGTACCACCATGCCCACCTAATTTTTGTATTTTTAGTAGAGATGGGATTTCACCATGTTGACCAGGATGGTCTCCATCTCTTGACTCATGATCTGCCCGCTTTGACCTCCGAAAGTGCCGGGATTACAGGGCCACTGGGCCCACCCAAGTCAAAACCTTTTTATATGAGGCTTATTTCTGGATGATTTCTGGAGACGCTATAGACTGGTGAACAGTGTATTCCTTGATTGTTATTAAATTGTCCAAAATAGCTTAGGAAATGACTTCAGTTAAGAAGAGCTGACACATTAAAGAAAGAATTGACTATAGAAGAGTTATTATGATGATTATTCAGCTTGTAGGGCTGTAGGGCCCCACAGGGTGATGGGGTGTCCCTTATGCTGTGCTGAGGTGCAGGATCCGAGAAGTAAAGAGATAGGACACTGAAGAACTGGTGAAGAGCATCTGGACTCTGGGGGCCATGGCACCTGTGAGCGGAGATCAACAAGAGCCCCCAGTGCCCAGAAGCATCTATATTTATTATGTACAAGCAGAGGGCAGGGTCGTGAGTGAGGTCATCATCTATAGGCTTAGTAATAGCACATACATAATCATGTGAGTCACAAGTGAGGGGGCTACCCCGTTATGTCACTTGGGCAGAGAGGTGGGCCATGCGCAGTAGGGGACCATGCTGTGTGCAGTAGTAGAGGGTTGTGTACAGAAAAGGTGTCCACCCCCATTAGGCAACTAGCAAGAAGGTGGGCTGTGTGCAACGGGTGTCATGGGCAACCCTTCTTATCTGGGGGCTGGAGACTTCAAAGGATTTCTAATAGAAGGATGCTGTAAGCCAATGCAGTGGGAGCTGACAGACTTGTGCTCTTCTCTTAAGATATTTATGGGTGGATGATTTGAGCTAGCACAGAAGCAAGAAAAGACTGACAGGGTGTACAGCCTCCGTGACTGGTCACACTAGAGGGGTTCTTCTCCCTCAGTTATTTCCAGGATCTGAGGCCTGAGGCCTACTTTCCACAGGAACTGGCTGCAAGGTACTACAACTCCTTTCTCAGGAGGAGAGGCTCTTGCTCCAAGCCTACCATACAGCGTATGCCCTTTCAGGCAGGGACATCACCGCTTGGGTCTTTGGTTCTTGTCCTGGTCTGGCTGTTTTTCCCATGTACTGCTTCTGTTCTGTGACTACGCTAGGCATTCCTCCTACTACAAACTACTATATAGTTATATAGAAGGATTCTATAAATCAGCACTAAATGTGTCAGTACAGCTCCAACTACAATACCTATATCAGGCGTCCCCAAACTTTTTACACAGGGGGCCAGTTCACGGTCCCTCAGACTGTTGGAGGGCTGCCACATACTGTGCTCCTCTCACTGACCACCAGTGAAAGAGGTGCCCCTCCCTGAAGTGCGGTGGAGGGCCAGATAAATGGCCTCAGGGGGCCGCATGTGGCTTGCAGGCCGTAGTTTGGGGACGCCTGACCTATATGATTATATAGAAAGATTATATAGAACTAAGTATGCTAGATATAAGTATTAAGTATGATTATATAAGCTAGATGTATGTAAGCAGTAAGTTATACTTCAGGCATTAATTCTATAAACTAATATATGATTATATTAAAGGATTATATAAAGGAAATAGCTGAGTAGCAACACTATAAACTGAGATATTTTTCAGGCGCTAATTGTGCCTGGGGTCTAGACAGTTCTCCTTCTTCGGTGCCCATAGGGGGTGGTACCCACACAGCTACTACACACAACTTTACCCACTTGGAAATCTATATGAGATAAATTATTTTCTAGGAAAAACGTGACCAAGATTGGGTCTAGGAGTAGAAAACCAAATAAACAATAATCAGAGGAAAATAAAGGTGTCACTGATCCCCTTCAGAAAGGTTCTGAGTCTGATTACTTTATGTGAGTTTACTTTTCTTTCTGATTAATGTAACATAATATTAAGTTAATTGACGAAACTGTACAAAATCACATTACAATCACTCATAATGCCATCATTCAGAAATAATTGAATAATTTTGTGTATTGTCTGTTCATGTCTTCCTGTATTGCCATCCTCACCCGTCCATTAGACTTAATTTATTCCCCTTCCTCATCCATTGTTTAAAAATATATACAGACATCCATGGAAGTTTTGTTTTAAGACAGACACAGCCAGGTGCCATGGCAGCACCTGTAAGTCTCAGCTACTTGGGAGGCTGAGGCAGGAGGATCACCTGAGCATGGGAGATCGAGACCAGCCTGGGTAACATAATAGGACTTGTCTCAGAAAAGTAAGATAAAATAAAAATAATCTGCACATATTTTACAAAGGAAAAAAAAAAAAAGCCGGCTGGGCGCAGTGGTTTACACCTGCAATCCCAGCACTTTGGAAGGTCAAGGTGGGTGGATCATTTGAATTTAGGAGTTCAAAACCAGCTTGGTCAACATGGTGAAACCCCACCTCTACTAAAAATACAAAAAAAAAAAAAATTAGCCAGGTGTGGTGGTGGACACCTGTAGTCCCAGCTGCTTGGGAGGCTGAGGCAGGAGAATCACTTGAACCCGGGAAGTGGAGATTGCATTGAGCCGAGATCTTTCCACTGCACTTTAGCCTGGCCAAGAGAGTGACACTCCATTTCAAAAAAGACAAAAAAAAAAAAAAAAAAAAAAAAAAAAAAAGCCAGGCACAGCACTCACCTGTAGTCCTAGCTACTGGGAGGCTGAACAGGGAGGATCCCGTGAACCTAAGAGGTGGAGGCTGCAGTGCTCCTATGATGGAGATGGTGAATAGCCACTACACTCCAGCCCATCTCTACTATTAATATATTTAAAGATATAATATGCCAGGCAAGGTGGGTCACACCTGTAATCCCAGCACTTTGGGAGGCCGATACAGGCGGATCACAAGGTCAGGAGTTCAAGACCAGCCTGGCCAATATGGTGAAACCCCGTCTCTACCACAAATACAAAAATTAGCTGGGCATGGTAGCAGGCACCTGTAGTCCCAGCTACTCGGGAGGCTGAGG